CTATCCAATAATCCAATTGCATGCAACTATTATTTTAATCACCGAGTATGGTTCCGAGTTTAATGCGGATTTCAATACAAATAATATACTAATATCCACTTGCATTTGCATTTAATTCGTCAATCAGAGTATAATATATGATGAATTGATGGATGAAAATATATTTTGATGCACAAATCATGTTATGTGGCATTTGCATTTAGTTGGTCGATACGATTACTACTAGGACGGTATCGTGCGATGCACGAGCCAATTTTATTAAGGTAAAAATTTAGATTTAGATGATTGGATGATGGTAAGAATGTAAAACGTATGTATTGAAATAAAACAAAATATGACTTATATACTATTGAACACACTTGTACACAACATTATTTGTTTGGTCTTTTGGTACATCATCTATCGTCACAAAGCATATTAAGATTATAGATAGGCTTAAATAAACCAACTAAATTATTTTGCATGATAAATATGATATGATTTATATTTGTTTTATGAATAATGCATAGCTAAATATAACAGAGACTGTAAAACGTCTTTCATGATAATCTATATCTTTATTATTTTAAAATTGTAAATTACTTAATTTAAGGAAGAGAAAAATTGTGTAAGTTTATGCAATCTATTTCAATTTGTATTCTAGAGGATTAAACAAAACTCAAATTTTTAGGATGTTTCAATTCGATATCGTTTGAAATTCAAATGAATATTATCTGATTCTGTTTTATGTTTAAAAAAAATCAAAATTAAAGAAACTAGTAGTCAAATAATAGAGAATTTTTAAATTTTAATTTTCAATTTGAAATTGGGCATGATTTCTATGGTGTCCGATTTTTTTTAATAAATATAATTTGTTACAATTAGTTAAAGATACATGTTATAGTATTTTTCCTTTATTCGAAATTTCTAATTTTATCGTAAATATTTTTTTTATTTTTTTTATAAAAATTGAGAGAATTTTGATTTTTAAAAAATTGTCGTGTCGGAATTTTTACCTAAATTAAACCCGATTTGTACGAAAAAAGAAGTCCTCACTGCATCTGCTATACAGAGCTCACTGGCTGTGTCGAATTTTTACCTAAATTAACCGATTTGTATGAAAAAAGAAGTCCTCACTGCATCTGCTATACCGAGCTCACTGTACCTCAGCCATGGTGGGAGATCTAAACCCTAATTCCAAACGAGGAAAGCCCGACCCGCAGAAGATTCGGTGCCCCCATTGCGCGGGCCCCCTCACCAAAGAGATGGTAACAGCCAAGAAATAGTTCAAAGTGTATCTCTAGCTCATGAATTTCCGACGATCTGAATTTCGGTATGATTTGCAGGAGACAAGCGAATGGACTGTACCACCGCTCATCAGAGACAGCTTTTCTATGGTGCGAATTGCAATCGCGCTCACCTTTTTGAATACTCGAGCTCTTTTTTTCTTTATTTTTTTTTTTTGTTCTGCTTTTGATATGGAATTGTGTTCCTTTGATATGTTTGCCGTTGAATCAGATAGGATCGGCGGTCGGTGGTACGGCTGGTGCCTTCTACGGCTTCAATCACGGTATGCTTCTTTGCCAGTAATTTTTTCCTTAACTGTTTGTGTGCGCATATGTAATCAATGGGTTGCTTTTGTGCTTTATGATGTGATTTGTTTCATTTCCTTAAGTGTTTGGTTTTCAGAAAACTATTTTCCTGTTTGTATCTCCTGGGTTTTGCTTGTGGTGGGTTCTTCTCCATTAGTAGCTACTTGTTTGAAAAATATCGAAAAACTTCAAATGAAATGAGTTTTGCTATGAAGTTTCTGTATCACAACTTCTATTCTTGATGCACACAACACTAAATCACTTGTCAATCATGCTGACTAAAGTTTTTCTGTAGCAATGCCGATTGTTAGAAGGTGGATTAAAGGTCCAATGTGGTTGCATTTCCTCGTTGGTGTAAGTCCTTTACCTTTTTCTTGTTTCTCGATCTCTTCCCTTTTTCATTATTATTTTAGTGATAGGTTTGTTTGGGTTTGAGCAACATTTAAGATTTGGCAATAAGTGTATTTGTATCAGCTTAGACTCGAGTTTCATTAGAAGTAATAAAACCATTTTTCTATGTATGGCTAAACAATGGATGCAACCGCACTTGAATCTTTTCAAATCCAGTAGACGGTAAAAGATGGAGTAAGATTTATTAGTTATTAGATACAAATTACTTTGTGTTAGTGCACGATCTTGTTGTTTTGCGCATAGAAATGCTAAGGTCTCAGTTTTTTAGGGCGTGATTGAATATGAATTCAACTAGTAAAAAACTAGTTATTTTTTAACTATAGTTAAGTTTGAATAAAATTGGTATGGTTAGTTGTTAGAGGATATATTAAAATAATATTTAAAATAAAATAATTAAAGTTGATTTGATGTAAAAGTAGAAGAAAATGATTGGAAGTGATGGTTAGTTAAAATTATGTGAGTGGATGAATAGTGAATTGAAGTTGATGTGATATGTAAGAATGATTGGTTGATATTATTTAATTATATTGATAATATTGGAGATAGTGAAGTTGAATTAAAGTTGAGTTAAATTTGAGTTTTTTAGTGCCGGTTATTAGATACAAATTACTTTGTGTTAGTGCACGATCTTGTTGTTTTGCGCATAGAAATGCTAAGGTCTCAGTTTTTTACTCATCAACTATTTTTCTTCATTCCGCTCCTTGTACTTTTGTTTGTTCGTTATTCTGAAATTTTTCCTCCGCACAGGCCCCACCAGTAATTATTTTCTCATCAGGGTGTGCTGGATTAACTGGTAAGACACTCAGACCACGTTATTAGCTGAAACTATGCGTATATGCAATTTGTGGGACTTGTAAAATGTTTGGTTTTGGTAGTTCCTCTTCCCCATAATTTCGTTGTTTTGCAAGACAATGTTTAAATTATGGGAAAGCAATATATGTTGTCAACTAAGACCACTTAAAATAGTCTTAGTTGCCATTTGGTGAAAATTGGCTGGTTTGGCAGCTCAAGACAAGTGGCGAGAACGAGTATGATTCTATTTTTTTTTTTTCAGTAAATAACTATAGCTTAATCCAACCAGCACCACCTCTATGATACAATCGTTTGAATTTGTCTAACACATCTTGAATTTCCAAATGTCTCGCATTTTCTAAATTATGATTAGTCCTGAAACTTACTTTCACTTAGTTCGTTTAATAGTTAATACATCACACATCAAGTACAAGTTCTCCTCTGCTACTTTTAGTGCCCACATGACTTGGATGCACAAATTCATTGGCATTATGCTTGAATAACCTCACATACTGAAATGTGAGTTGGTATTAATATTGACCACCCTCAGATTATGTCGTGTAACAAAAAATTTTTGCTGCTAGTAAAATGCTTTGCGGCCATAAGAGAAGTGTACAAGAGGATTTAACTGTTTCTTCTTCGTGATATGAAGCACTTTTTTTGGTGAGAGAGTATCAAGTTTTTGTTTACTGCATATCCAACATTTTATCTCCCAACGCATCTCAGCTCTTCTTACCACGTGGCCTAATTTTTGCGCAGGTGGCTCGATTCCAGCCCTTGCTCAACTTGCCTCGTCATCTTATCATGCTGTTATGACATCATCAAAGTCGTCATCACCATCTGTACCTTCATCCTCGTAGAACAAGAAAATCACGAGAGTTAAATTTTGCACCTTTGTTTATTATTAAATATAATTGATGCTTAATTAGCAACCGTGAGGGGATTCTCTTCCCCGTACAGAATATCTGTTGCTAATTATTATTGGATGCAGTTTTGTTGGCCTTAGTTCATGTAAAATTTATTACCAAGCTCTTTGAGCGCGAGTCACCACTTTCTGTATGCGTGCACTTCTATTTATTTATGTATTGACATTTTACATTTCTTATTCATTTTTTAAACAAACACACACAGAAATGTGAACGCTTATATTCAATTTATTCCCCAAAGCCATATGCATCTTTTCATGAACTGCGATTTTCCTTTTCATTTCGTCTTTTTTAAACTACAGGCATTTTGGAGTTTCGAGTCTGCCATTAGATTACGGTGGCTCCATCTCATGAGAGAAGAAGATCTTGGCAATAAGGTATGAAATTGAGAGACTATTACCTACACTTTTTCAGCATATTCTTATCTTCTGAGTGACGAGAGATGAGAAATTTACCTCTCTGCTATTTTAATCATTCGAGCAGTTTCTGCACAGACTAGGAATTTTGAATTTTTCATTCCAGCTATAGTGGGCCCGCCTAAGCCCGAAAGCTATCAAAATGGTATTTTTATTTGTATCTACTGCAAAAGCCGCCAATTAAAGATGCCAGAAAGTTCTCAGTAGGTGCAGAGAGGGGGAACAAGCTGTCAAAGTACACACAATTCAGCATCTAAGTAGGATGCTTTTTTTTCTTTTTCCTTGTTGTGATACTGAGAAAAATGGGACCTCCACAATATGCTTCTTTGAGATTTTGTGTCTTAATTGGATTTATTTTCTGTTATTTAGTGAAACGGTAATTAAATTCAAACAAGAATGTGCCATGTGCTTTACTGGAGGCTAATGCACCTTGTTTTGGACCACCGGACCGCCTCATGTGCAGCTTGCAGTGCTTGATTTTTATTTGCATAATTTTTTCTTTACATTTTCCATTTTCTCCCCTTAGCTTTTGCCATTTTTGCAGAGTTTTTCGAGTCAAAGATAACAGTTTGAGTCTTGGATTGTTGCTTTGGTCTGTGAGAATCAAGTAATTTAGTAACAGGTTTTTCAGGCTGTGTTCATTCAGTTCTATTTATGTTGCGTGCACTAGTTTGCCTTGTCTAAAAGCGCGTTTTGCTGGTTTGTTGTAAAAAAACGTGCTTTTAATTTGCTGTAAACAGGTTGGAATGTTTTTTGGTGGGTTCAAGCCTTCAAGGTTCAAATAACATGAAAAAAATATGCCACAATAATAATAATAATAATAATAATAATAATAATAATAATAATAATAATAATAATAATAATAATAATAATAATAATAATAATATGTCACCAATAAGTTGAAATTTTAACGAGTGAGTGGTGTTATTTCTTAATGTATTCACCGTGAGCATGATATATAATTATTGAAAATGATGAAATAATATGTAAAGAAAATTTCGAGAGAAATGGTGAAATAATTATTGAAAATGACAAAAGAGGTGTATGACATGTAAAAAGAAAATTATAAAAAATTGTCAATAATAGTTAATGTTAATTTTAGTTTAATTTGACATGTGTAAGATTATAATTGGTTGGTGATGAGAAATATATTTAATAAATACTAAAAAATATAATAGACGATGATGTCTAGAAGTATTTCTATAGAAAAACTTCTAGACATTTTGAATGTCACGTAAGATTTATTATGAAAAATCCATAAACTATTGAAGATGCTCTTAGATATTTTATTTCTGGACAAAACTATAAATACAAATTTTTAACTCAAAAAATTTAACTCAAATTTAGTATATTTTTCTTCTTCTCAATAGTATCATTATAATTACATAATAAAAATTAATCATTAGTATTATCAACGAAATTCATTATCTATTAACTCACATATTTTTAACTAACAGTCATTTTCATTATTATCTCACTATTTTTACATCACTTCAACTTTAATCATTACATTTTAATTCATATCCAATCTGAAACTCAAAATTAATAAAAAAATTCACACAATCACGTTTGGGTAGTGTAAATAACCACAAAAATTATATATTACAAAAATATTATATATATTTGTATATGAAAAAAAATAGTTTTGCTATTAGCTATTGAATCCAAAAAAATTACATTCAAGTATTATATTCTTCCAAACGTATAATATAAATGTTTGGCTATTCAACAATCTCATAACCTAATTTAATTTAAGCCATCAAAACTAAAAAATACAAGGCATTAATTTAATTGAAAATATTTATATCAAACTTAATTTTCTTTAGCATGAAAATATTGACTTTTCGAACAAAACCAAACTTATCATCAAATGATCCATCAATTAATAAGTTACAGATATAAATAATAATAATAATAATAATAATAATAATAATAATAATAATAATAATAATAATAATAATAATAATAATAATAATAATAATAATAATAATACCAAAATCCACACATTCCCGAGCTGAAAAACAGCTCTATTATGTTAAACACAACAGTACAAAATCAATCTATATCTAAGATAACTCTATAGAGCAAAACATTATACTGGAAAACAAAAGAAATCAACTCTAATTACTCTTCTTCTTCTTCTTCTTCACATTTCTACAACAGTACTAACTTAATATCTTGAGCAGCCAAATTAAACCTCGATAAAATCGCACTCGAAAAATCGAAACTATAATCACCTATGGCAAACACATTTGTAGTGATAAGCGCTGTTTATAGGGTCATTTCCCTCGACCGGGACTTGCTCTGCCCTGCACTTGAACCGGCAGCCTCTGCACTCGTTGTACGTGCACGTGGGGGCCACCGAACCAATCAACGACCTTTTCGAGTCATCCTTCAAATTAATATTTTTTTTTTTAGTTTAAAATCAACAAATATACACAGGAATCATTTTTTTTTATTCAATACTAAAATTGCCAAGATAAATAAAACAGACAGTGTGTGTGTTTTGGTTTTGCTAGTGTTACTCATTTGTTTACCTTGTTTCGTAAGCCCTTCATTTTTTTCCCTCCCAAAAGCAAGAAATATACAAAAGAATCACTTCTTTTTTTTTTTT